CAACCAGGCCGTGGTCGTGAGCATCGACCCGAAGCGCGTGTACGTCCCCAAGGTGGACGCCACGCGGCACAGTACGCTGCACACGCGCTTCGCGGGCCCGCGGGGCGAGGCGTACTGCTGGTACGCCTGCACGATCAAGGGTGGGCGCGAGACGCGCGACATCGACGTCGTCGAGCTAGCGCAAGCGGTCGAGGCCATGGGCGCCGGCGAGCTGCTGCTGAACTGCATCGACCGCGACGGCACGAACAGCGGCTTCGACCTCGAGCTCATCGCGCAGGTAAAGGCCGCCGTGCGCATCCCCGTCATCGCGTCCAGCGGCGCGGGCAACCCGACGCACTTCGAGGAGGTCTTCCGCGAGACGACGACGGACGCGGCCCTCGGCGCGGGCATGTTCCACCGCGGCGAGTACACTGTGCAGCAGGTCAAGGACCACCTAGCCTCGAAAGGGCTCGAGGTGCGGAGATTCGAGGGTGAGTTATGATACCCGAAGTTAGAACCAGGCCCGCGACGATTCGTCGAATTTACACACACAATCTTCCATAGACGGTGCTGGCAGCACAGCCCCCTAAAGTAAAACCTTGATATCACGTTTGAAAAAAGGAAGGGAATCATTGTAAAAAGAATTTCCTTTTGTTTTAGCATGAAAAAAACTTTGCATGTATATTTTTGATAGGAAGACTACCTATTCCCGTTTGATTCGTCATCTCCCCGTAGAACTGCAAATTCGGATCAGTCTATTGAAACCCCTTCTCCCTTTCCTGACTCCGTCCGATGGTTGTAATGCATGCCTTTTCAGTTGTGGTTACGATCAAATTCAGGGCACAGAGCGGAATACGATGGTGCATGTAAAACTCCCAACTCCACGAGTTAATAGAAAGAGCGACGGTAGAAATCATATCGATGATTTTGCCTTGGTAAAAAAAAAAATACATTGGACTAGGCCGGGCAGTAGTTTTAATGTGCTAATTGTGTTTGTTTGTGGATGGTAAGAGCGGAAGTGATTACACCTCCATTCCCAGGAAGAGCCATGTGGCGCTGAGGACGTCGACACCTTCGGCCCAGAAGTCGAGCGTCGTTAGGTCGAAGCCAACCCATTGCAGACTTCTCATCAAAGACTTTGCGTGGTCTTCCGGCATGCGTCGGTCCATACAGATGACGACGTTGGAGCATCCCAACGGAACATCGGCCAGTTCGATTAGAGCAATGAGTCTACGGCATTTGTTAGAAACAGCACAAACTGAAATGAACTGAAATACATCACGGGAGATGTTCATAAAAGGGTGGGTATGACTTACGCTTGCTTGAGATCTCGGCCGACAAGTCCGCTGTCGAAGAATGCGAATAGTGCCTTTTCGCCGTCTTTCTCGGCCACGAAGGCCCGGAAACTTGCGCCGCCCACGTAGTCCCAAAATTCCACCCATCCCTTAATGGTCGCAAGGGGCATTGGTCCGTTAGCGTTGGGCAGAGTCGGAGTATAGTGATCGGGTGGCGTGAGTACACCGTAAACACCAGTCAGGCAGGAGCCAGTACCGACCGCGTTCCGCTCACCTTGGAACACGGCCCTCATGGTCTCGCAAAAGAATCTCTCACATTCTTCCCTGATCTGAAATGTTGCCCCCCCTCGGCGGCTGGTGGTGGTGATGCGGTTCAGGCTTGTCGTGATGGCGTTGTCGGAGCTGCGCTTGGGCTTGGGCTGCAGAGCGAGCTCGTTGGACGACGTGATGGCCGCGAGGGGGGGACTTGACGGAGGGGATGGTAGTCCTGAGATGGGGACCTCAGGAATACCACTCGGCCCCTGGCATGGGATGTTAGTTCGTGTTGGCACCGCGCATCCGAGTAGAGAGAGCCCGAGCAGAGAGCACGCGGAAGCGGGATTAATCGACGAGATTGCTTACCTGCAGCCCCGGTAGTGCAGTAGTGGAGGCCTTTGAGTGACGCAGCGGAGTCTACCAAGTAGCAGCTGGCGAGGACATTGACCTGACGGGCGACGTCCTCGCCGTAACAATTACTACTATTTAAATTGGTGTTTTGAACTGACGCCATTTTTGATGGAATCCAGGTTGATCAGATGGAGAAATTGGGGATTTGTCGGTGGGTGGTTGGACTGATAGGGACTGATGGGGATTGATGTGGCTGTTGGGCGATGGAGTCGATGAAAGGCGAGATGGTGAAAACGTCGTAGAGTTATGACAGGATTTTGCGTACGGAAAAGGAAGATATGTAGACGACGGAGATGGACGGGAAAAATGAAAGGGTAAGGTTAGATGGGGCTCAAAGAGGGTACATAAAAGTCCAGCCCGTCAAAAGGTGGCGGTCAAGCCGAGAGGGAGTGGGTCCATCCGTCAGAAACCATGGGCCGATTCTGGAAACGGCTGGTGCAACCGGGTGGCCAACCACCTTCCGACGTTGAGACAAACGGTCAGGTACGGAAAGTGCGCCAAAATCTCGGGGCGCTGCCAGAGCAATACGCGCACGACTCACAGCACAGTTTTGGCGCCATTTCTCGTACCCTGCTTCGTTACATAAGCAGAGGGTATCCGCAATCTCATCACGTGGCACCTGACGTGGAGCCATTCTGTTCCAGCGGTTCCTCTCTTCGTGCCACCTACGCGCCGCCGTTCCGTCATACTGCTCACAGTCCAGCGGGCGGGAACCTCTCGGCGGAGTCTCATCTCTGGAATGCCCATGGGTACTTAGTCATGTATTCCCGCTAGATACTTACCTATCTGGGTACTGTATGTAGATGGGTGCTTAGGTGCTTAGGTGCCTAACGTTGTTGGCCATTTGTTCGGCCGCCTACCCGTAGTCTACTCGGACACATCGATAGGGGATGGCCGGGAGATGCCGCGGGCCGACCACCTAAAGACACGACGATCACCTCCGCCAGGCCAGAGCCACCAAACAAGGGTTCTATCTAGATACCCAACTACGATGTACCAGGAGTTAGCGCCACTCGTTACACTGGAGCGCCTTCACATGCTTCGTATTGGCATCGCCGGGTATGTGACAGGCAATGACAGGCAATGACAGGCAAGCAGAACAAGGAATCACACACGCAGAGGTTCCAAGCAAGGAGTGACGGTACACTACTGAGTAACGGATACAACCCAGAGAAGTGCGATATTTACCTTGAATTCTGGGTACGGACACCGGGTTGATAAACCAATCAGGGGAAGCGATCGGGGCATGCAATAGGTGGTATTCACTACCGGATGCTAGGATCTTTCACCGCCCTGGTTAGCAAAATATTGCTCAAGACGCTCCCCTGCCCGTTTACCCCCTGTGCTCCCCATCAGCGGTCCCCTTGCTACTTACCATTTTCCCTCGCGCCGGCTAGCCCTGGCCCTTTCGTTCGCCTCCTGCTGTCTCTGCTCAGGCGTTATACACATCGAGAGCGGTTGCGTCCTCACCGCCCGTGTCGGCCCAGCCGGTCTTCTCTTGGCGATATTCCTACTAGCATTCACGGTCATCCGCGCTGGCGCCTCTGCTGGGTTCTCAGTTCTCTTTCAGTTCTCTTCGATCGGCGTCTCGCCTTCTTGCGATGCATCTTCTCCTGCCTTTCGAGGCGCAAGTCGGCCATTCTGGCTATCCATTTGGCTCGCGTCAGAAGCAAGTAGACGAGCAGCACGAGGAGCAAGAAGCCCCCGATTGCGCCCAGAATGATACCAGCGATTTGTCCGGGGGAAAGGATAGCCGTCGTCGATAGTGATGATATGAGAGGTGCTTCGGTTAGTGGCGTCGTTGTTATTGTACTGTCGCTTGTGATGAGCGCGATGGTTGTCGATGCTACCGTTTCGACTTCTGAAACTACGATCGTGACTTGGCTTGTGGTGGTATATATCGCCGCTGTATCAGCCGACGTTGTTGGTTGGTAGTAGGATGAGTTGTTCCCGTTTGTTGTGTAATAGTCCGAGTCGTCCTGGGTCTGCGTTTGGACCTGTTCTATGTGGTCTGGCATGTCTTCAAGCGTAAGGACTGATGACAGCATATACAGATGAGCTAAGTTCGATCTGTCCATAACAGCGAAAGGACCGCCTAGAAGCACTTACTACTCGTCTTCGGAATGAAGGCATGAGTGCGCTGACCCTGTTCAGTCTCCGCTACCGTTGGCGCCATGATTAATTAGACTGACGAGATGGAAGCCTACAATGATGATTGATGGTCTCTACTCTATTCACGGAGCGGAACATATCTACTCTCATCAGCTATAATACCTCTAGAAGTAGCAGGGCATTCAGAAGGGAGAGGAGGTAGGCGGTTTCACTTCCTTTGTTCGAGATATTAGCTTCACGAACCCAGCGACAACTAGACACCACGGTGATAAGTTACAATTATCGATCACATATCGCACTTGAGTATCGTTAATAGTATCTACGAATTAGAGAAGGGCTAGAGACTGTATCCGACCGGACGTCTTGCGAAGGCAGCAGAGACGGATGGTTCTATCTCGATATCTGAAAGACCTTTTTTCTAACTCTTCTATTTCCAATGAATAGAGTACCGGTTCGTCATGGCATCCTCCAGATGCTTCTGGTCTGCGATCTTTCGCAGCATATGTCCCGAAGATTGACCTTGCCAAGTGGCATAGGCGAGTAGCATATGTAGTTCTATGCCATCATCACCATGTGAGATGTATTACAACCTACCACCATGCCAATATATATAGGTCTATACATTTATATATATATAATCCGATTGGATATGCTTATTCCGTACATTAAAAAAAGCATCGATGTTAATACGGTAACAAATTAGTGCCTTAAATGCCGTTGAGTATTTGTGCCCCAATAATAAGGCCTCTCACGTGGGTATACGGATTTCTTCTGCTGATGCGCGATCCTTGATTCACGCCGCTTGTCGCGGCTATGCTCGCAACGATCACCACGGCCAGGGCTCACATCCCAGTTGCCGGAACAAAATCCCAACGCCCCGAAAGAACAACTTAACAACCAGCCGAAAAGAAAGAAAAAAACAGAAAAGAAACCCGCAAAAGATCAACACTCCGAATCGGGGAATCGAACCCCGGGCTTGACGGCACCGCTCAAAGGGAGACTTTCAAACGAAAGACGATTTGAGAGCGTCAAATGTTAGCCACTACACCAATTCGGATTTTGCTGCAAATATGCCCACTAGCGGAATCGAACCGCTGATCTTGTCATGGCATCTAGTGCACCCCAGACGGCCGCAAATTTGTTTCTTTGCGGAAAAGCTTGGGATAATTACTAGTGACACGCTATACCACTTAGCCAAGCGGGCATTGTTGATTGGCGGCCCTGGTGAATGCCTACTTGGGAGGGAGGTCGGGCAGCGTCTATTCCTGGGTCGGGACGGTTGCATTTTCTATCTGCAGGTGTGCCTTATGTTCGCTTGCGACGGTTCCCCTCGTACTTCCTTGCTACCTGTTCATTGCTACCTCTTCATCTCATCCCGGGGCGGGGTTTGGAGTATGCCACGACGGGCGGCGCTGTGCGCTATTATTTGCGCATTGAAGTGCCTCTGGGTTGATCCAGTGCTCGGATATTAGCGGATGGGAAGCGATCGGGAGTGAATAGATAAACCCAATCTGTTGAAGGTTGAGCCTCGGGGTTGAACCAGCCTCCTACGAAAACTTCTGCGGCTATAGCTTGTCTTGGCCTCGGTATGTGTTGACGGGATGGACGCCGGAAATCCCTCCGGGTCTTCAGTGGCATTCAATTCCCCGGGCGTGTATCAGTGAGGAGAATCAGAGGATTCAACAGCTGCTTGGTCCTTATGTATTCCAGTTTGACCTGAGGAAGAGACCGAAGCAGAACTAGAACACAGCAGAACTTCGTAATTGCTACGGTTTGCTCTAATGCCCCAGCCGGATTGTCTAGTAATCTGTCATACTATTACCGGAACTGCCCGTTGCAACGGCACGGTAAATGGTGAGTTGCGTTGTCACTAGCAGGCCGATGACCTCAGGACTCAGAAGCAAACACCGAGACGTAAACTTGAGTCGTAGAGTAGGGACAAGCATATATGCCAGTGCCAGAGGGGGTATATGAAATACATATGAAAGCTGATGCCATCAACTCGAATCCCGATATCCCAACCGAATACTCACAGCGAATCTCTCTCTTCTCCCCGGAAGTATGAGAAAACTTCGGCATCAAAAATGCAGTTCACCACGAGCACTGCCATCCTCAGCGTTTTCTTAGTCTCCGCCCCAGCAGGGCCAGCACCTGCTAGGGACAAGGCTTGTAGTGGCATTAGACAACACCAACGATCCAAGGAGCGGTACAAGAATTTAAAAGAAGGTCCCGAAGCCGCGGAGGAGAGAATCCTTACAGACCAGGGGCCTCACGGCAACGAATATTTCGTTACATTCCTCCGGTAGTGTCATCTGCCCCAGGAACCACACTAAGGGGACTGTATGCAGCAAAGAGGCGCGTCGTTGGTAATGTCGATCAAAAGGCCAGGGCAGTCCATCTCCGAGGCGCAAGAAGGGAGAGCAGGTGATTAACCGCCGGGCCCTGCTGCTGTGGGTCCCATGTAGGTAGGGAGTGCAGTGTAATGTATTCCGTAAGGTCGTATATATAGTATCTCACCTGCTACTGCGCCCGGAAGATCCTCACCACCCCCTTTTCATTGATAGTATCAATTTTCAAGTACCTCTTTGTATACAATTTCGTAAAACGCATTGTCTCGCTCTTAGACTAAGACATTCAGCCCTATAACGGCGCTGTAACCCATAGATGTGTCGACGGCGAGGTGCCGAAATTGGCGATGTCAACATAAGGTAAGCAAGGGGTTCCGCCGCATACGAACGGATGCCTCCCTGAAAAGAGTAGCCCTAACCCAATACATGTAATGAGCAACCCGTAAAAACCCCGTGATGCCCATCCCGCGCGTGTATTACCTCCTTGCCCCCTTGCTCCCCTTGACGTATTTCGAGAACTAACAGGGCGGTTACACGCCACATCGTCGCAAGGCTAACTCCGTATGTACAGCAGTAGTGCCTCAACGCAAGTCCCGACCCACGGAGTCAAGTCCGGGGGTTACGGTAAGCAGGCGAGAGGGTGTGCCGCCAGAAACGGCCAATTTTAGCTTCTTTTCGTGCAACACGAGCAAGCGCCGGCGCCAAGCAGGGAATGGAACAGGAGGAACGGGGGCGATCGGATTCCGTTGGGTGGGTGGCTGCGTTTCTCTGCGTGCCCCTGAAGTGTGCTCGCTGTGTTCCCGGTCATGTGTATGCACTATGGGTGCCGTGCATGCCACGGTTACGGTAAGATCTACCTGGGTTAGACTTGGGATGGCTGGGTCTGGGATGGCTGGGTGGGTGCTTGTACCTGCTGGGTTATAGACGCGGTACTGAGATTTGCGCGTCCACGTGCTTTCTGTTTCCTTTTGCCTTGGGGGCCTCTCAACTGGGCTTTGAAGGGGGATAACCTGTAAAGGCCAAATACTTGGGAGGAGAAATCATACGTATTTCTACTAGGTAGGTAAGAGGTCTAGTATGTGAACAGAAAAGAATCCCGTTCTACATTATGACTATACGAACTATTATCTATGAATATATGTGTAGGTATCTCGCTAGCGAACATGGTATATAAGAATTCTGGATCATCATCGTCAAAATAAAGAGCCCGTGGAAATCCTGAGACCTTCGGAGGCCTCACCCAGTTTTATAAAATTGAGGAGTTTATGTACTGCGAACATGAAAGATATCACAGAGAAAATACCGCCGGTACTGCGCCTGGCGGGGAAATGATACGAGATCGGCTTTCGTATCTCGGCCTGTGCTGCCCATCCCTTCTAGAGTCAAATGTAGTGTAATGAGGTGAATCAAATAGATTCTTTGACAGTGTGCAATGGAAGTATGTTGTATTTTGAATCCCGGGTTCACTCGTCGACCTCCTCGCCCTCGGCGTCGTCATCTTCATTGCTTTCAGCCGCAGGCAACGCTGCGCAGCTATTGAGCTTCAGAGGGTTCTGCAACGCCCAGCCGCCGCCGTCATCCCGTCTAAGGATCCCAATTTCAGGACTGGTAGCCCAGCTGATCAACGACTCGTCCGTCTCACCACCGAACGCCACCGGCGGCTCCATGCCTCCGGCGGCCTTTTCTAAATGTTTCGCTACGTGCTCCATGCGGTCGTCCCAGGCATTCCTGCCCTCGAATTGCACGTTGCAATTCGGCGCTGGGCATGTCATGTGCTCGGGCAAATAACACCTGGTCCGGATCGCTTCGTCCTGGTACGCGCGCTGCTGTTCCTCCCATTCGGGCACGGGTGTTTTCGACTTGACTTTATTTTTCAGGTGCGTGGGGACGTGCATACGCCGCAGGTGCTGTGTGTATAAGTCCTTGCGGTTGAATATCGTGCCGTTGGGAAGAGCCGATGGATGCTCGGCGGAATGGCCGGGGCAGTTAGAACGTCTCCTCGCGGGTCCTGAGGACTTTTTCGGCGTTCTGGGCTTGTTCGAGACTTGTGCGCATCCGTCCTGCTGGCAGACCCAGTATTGGAGCACAATATGCTGGGACGCGCAGTGGCGCTTCCACTCGTTTTTACTCGGGAACGTGGAGCGGCAGCCTGCAAACTCGAATATACACGTGAATGGTCGCGTATGTCGCTTTTTGACGTGATTGTCGAGGCCGATTTGGTCCTTGAAGGATTTCATGCAATCCGGGCAATGGTATTGTCCGCCCTTGGTCCCTTGTATGGGCGGTTTAGAGGCCGAGGGAACTGTCGGCGGTTCTTTCATTGTAGTCTTAGGGCGCTTCACAACCACGAAGGACTCCGAGACGCTACGCCGTTTGTGGTTCGTGGTATTGTGAGTCGACTTGGGCGAGCCGTCCTTAGGCTTCTCGTATGGCCTGTAGTCGTCTTCATTTTCGCATTCGTCTGTATCTCTCTTCAGACATGGGCTCCCGGCATCAGTCACTTTCTCAGTTTCGTCTTCTTCAGGGGTGTAATGGTTCTCCAAACCACGCGGAAGACGGATCTCTTCTTTCATATCAGGAGTTTCCGGGCTCAGACACCTTGGTTGTTGGAATATCTCCTCATCACTCCATGCCTTGGAACTGGTATTGCTCCCATCGCTTGACATGCTGCAAGTCCTTAGATGGGAATCAAAGGTCTGCAGACTGCTGTCGAGATAGTTATTCGGCAAATCCTGTATCGGATTGACATCGCCAAGATTAACGCATCCATCGGCTAAACCAGTGTACTCGTACACTTGTGGATAGCTTTCATACTGAGGCATTAGAGGTAGATCCGAAGGTGTGGGTGGTGAGTAGATGTGGCAATAATCTGTCTCCCCTGGTGGACTGAGACCACTGCTGCATGTCGAGGAGGGGTTGGTGTATGACGGCGACTCCGCGCGTTGAAAAGGGGGCGAGGGAAATGGAGCCACAATCCCAGGCGAAGCAGAGCCGATCACCGGGTATAAGAGAAATGGCGTCTTGTTCTCCGTTAGATAGCGACCGACGGTCCAAGAGCCTCCAGTGCTTGCTGGTGAAGCCACATGCTCGTTTTCGGAGTCCATTGACAACTCTGGTTCCGCGTATAGAAGAAAGCCTGAGTTGTCGGCGTAAGGCGTCTGTAGGTAAGTCATCTCGGAATTGGCAACAACGAGAGCTGGTTCGCTGGGGTGAGAAGAAGCAACTAAGTTATGGACAAGGGGACGTCGAGACCGAGGGGTCGAGGTACCTAGGTCCAAAGTTGAACGCAAGGGAGTATCTAAGTAGGATTTAATGTCAGGGCAATCGTGATACAGCTTGACCTTGTTACGTCCATGTACGATGTGATTGATATTCCAGGAAGATAACCAGCGAAGGGAGGAAGGATTTTAGGGGGGTTCCCCCTTCTTTGTATGAGGGTAGGTATCATCTAGAAAGCATAGGCGAGGCGGGCCAAGGGTTACCGCAAAGGCAGACAAGCGGCACAGCGTTAGACGCCGATCAACGCCGAAGTTCAATATCACTAGTACAACCTCCTACCTATCTTATCATCCGAAGTCCATAGGCCGCATCTTGCTAACAGACCCCACGCGGAGCCGCACGAAATCGCGCTCATGAACGCCAAGTCACTGACTCAAGCAACCTGGTTGCTTTTCTGTGAGGCCTGTTAGGCCGGGGGGGGTAGCGTCGTATGCATATCACCCTTTTTGGATGCCAGCACCCCAGCACAAATGTACAGGACTTAACGAGCATATTGGTGATTGGTCGCAGCCAAGCTCAAGGCAACCGGCCCATCTTAAATCGGGTCACATTCCAGTGCGCTGTACTAAGTACTGTA